TTTTATTCACTGTGCAAAGGCGCTCAGCTTGGTGAATCTGAACAAAATGCAGAGGACATTGTGAACCCTGGAAATTAAAAAACACTTAATTGTGCTTATGCTTCACCTGTACGCAGAGCAAGAGGTACTTGTTTAAAAAGAACTTTGTGGTTGAAAATGAAAAAGAGAAAAGTGTATGTCAGAGTTACATCATTTCACCTCATTTATTCATTCTGTTTGATGAACATTTTAACAGCCTACAATATACAGATGATATAATCTTACTTGCTTAAAGGAAAGAAAATTTGAAATACTTATTGATGAAGAAAGATCAAAGACTACATCCTTCAATATTGATTACACCTCAACATAAAGAAAATAAAAATCATCATGATTGGACCAAATATCCACATCATAATAAAGGAATAAATACTGAAATTGTTAAATATTTCATTTTACTTAGATTCACAGTCAAGATCCATGGAAGGAACAGGCAGGGAATCACATGACATACAGCATTGGACAGGTCTGTTGGAAATGCCAGTGCCATTCAGTAGACTGCCTCTATTCTGCTGCATCTTCACAGTCTTCACCGTGCTTGAACCCATTTTTAAAGTCACTGCGTCAATCTACCTTGGAAAGAGTTTTCCTTACTTAGGCTGACAGTCTGCTTTTCCCAGCTTAGTATATTTTCTTAAGCGCTGACCCTTCCTGACAATGTGTTTGGAGCATGTGGGGAAAAGTTTCACAATCCTTATCTCCACTCTGATTACACTTCCTCCAAGACAAATTTGGTGGCTCTTTTTGCAGTTGATGGTACATGTTTTTCACCAGCACCGCAATTCAAAGGTATAAAATCTTCAGTATTCATTATCCGTTGTCTAACTTTAGATGCGTATTATTAAGCAATTGAAAAATACTGTAGCTTGGATCAGGAGCACCTTAGTATTTATATTGACATCCTTCCTTGTTAGAATCCTAATGACATCCCTGACAACAGATTTTACCAGTGCAACACTTTTTTTTGTTGGGTGGGGTGGGGGGGTGGGAAGGGCTGTTACCATGAGTATTGACTGTAGAGGAAGGGAAAAGGAAATTCTTGACAATTTAGTCTTTTCTCCATATATCATGATGCTGCCTATTGGTCCTCCAGTGGTAAGGATATTTTTGTTTTCATGGTTTTGAGATATAATTCATATTGAAGTATTTAATCTGTGGTAGGTGCTTCAGGTTTTCCCCCTTCGCTTTCTGCACGCAGAGGTATATCATCTGCATAATGCAGGTTATTGTTGAATTTTTCTCCAATCCTGATGCCACATTCTTCTTGATATAATTCAGCTTCTGTAATTCTTTGCCCAGCATAGAGGTTGAATACATAGGGAGAAAGTAGTACAACCTTGATTTACACCTTTCTTGATTTTAAGCCATGCAGTATTCTCTTGTTGTGTTTGGAAAGCTGATTGAATGGGAACAAATGTGAATCTCTTCTTTGGACATGACTATTTTTTAAAAATGCCAAAAACCAGTTGGCTCTTTGAGTACTAAGATGTACCTGATCCAAGCGTTTCAGCTGCCTCAAATGCATGTCAAAGTTGTACTAGTGAACAAGGAAGACTGAAGAAGAATTGGTGGCTTTGAATTAAGGTGTTGGTGAAATGGTATGGATATTCCATGAACTACTAAAAGAAATGCAGCCAGAATGCTCCTTAAAAGCCATGATGAAAAACTTTTGTGTTTCGTACTTTGAACATCTCATCAAGAAGCATTGTTTCCTGGAGAAAGGCATTTTGCTTGGCAGAGGTTCAGTGAAAAAAAAGAAAGATTTTCAGTGATAAAGATTGACATAATGACTACAACAGTGGGTTTGAACCTAAGAACGGATATGAAAATGGTATTGGACCAGGCGGTATTTTGTTCTGTCGCTGTAAGTCAGAAATGATCTGTCAGAACTTGAGTCATCAGAACCTATCAACAATATAGAGATTCTCTGAAGTACTACTTAGTGTTTTGTAAGACAAGCATTATTGACATTACGGATTATTAAACCAAATAAAGAAGAGAATTGAGTAGATAACACTAGAGGAATAGAAGAATGTCTAAAAATGCCTCAAAAATTGATGCCTACATAATTTTCATAGGGTTTAATACCACTATCATTCAGAAAAATGCACCAACAACCAGAGCCAAAGAAGAAGAAATA